ATAAGCTACTGTAAACCATAAGAGAATTTATTAAGTTGATTGGTGCAAAACTAAATAAAAACCATAAAAATTGACTGACAAATAATAGCCAGTTAGATATAACATCTGATTTTTTAAATAACAAAAAGCAAAATGCCCAAGATTAAACTCCAAAATTGTGTAAAAAAACCTGTGTAAAGAAAGCTTCAAGTAAGTAAGGATATGGGGCAAACAGAACTCTCACATAATGTTTAGTGAAAATGAGGGTTGGGAGAACCACTTTGGAAAACTCTTTGTGTTTATGTATCCAATTTGGAAAACTGTTGATATATATTCAGCTTGGAAAACTCTATGTTTATATATACTCAGTTTAGGAAACTTTGTGTTCATATATATTCAGTTAAAATATATTATATATATACACTCTGTGTTTATATATATCACATATATATATTTTTATATACTCAGGTATCCAGGACACCAGACTATTACACAGTGAATATCCAACCATTCTACCTTTAGACATACAACCAACAGAAATGTGCGCTTGTATTCAACAAAAGGTAATGTTTATACTGGTGATACTCAGAATAGCAAAAACCTGGAAACAGTGTAAATGCCAGCAACAGTGTTCTCACCACAAAAAGGAAAGAAAAGAAAATGGTAACTATGTAAAGTGGTGGATATATTAATTAACTTGATTGTGGTGAATATTTCACAGTGTATGCTTGTATCAAATCATCAGGTTGCACGTCTTAAATATGTATAGTTTTTGTCAATTGTACCTCAATGGAGCTGGAAAATAAAGTAAAATGCTAAAAAAATGTTTTTAAAATGAAAAGCCAAACCTGTATAACCCAAATTAATTAACTTTGGAAATCTCAGTAGTACAGCTAGTACATGGAAAAAAAGGTTTCAACTGGGCAAAATTGAAGCACCAATCAAATTACTGGGAAATATTTTCTTTTTCTTAAATAGGATGCAAAATGTTATCTTCTGTGGTTCTAGCCAATCTGAGCTTCCTGTGGTCAGAGGTGTCAAAGGGAGCAAACCTATTTGCCTTCAAACTGAAGGAAAAGTATCAGTGCAGGAAGTTTTCCTGGGGAGAACTTGAGTTTGTGTTCTTATTGTAGTGTTTCGTAGTGTAAAGCACTTCTGAGGATGTTCTCTCCTTTGAGGTATGTTCTCCTGTGAGTTGGGTTCCATTTAATGTATTCATATCATATACGTAGACATATACGCACACACAGAGATGCATGTGTATATACATGTGACATACGACTTGCTTACTTCTTCCCTTTTTCATTTTTAGGGTGGCAGTTTGTCCTGTTGATGTGTTAGGTTTTTTCCCATCTTGTTATTTTCTCTTTTCTCTTGTATAGTATTTTGATCTGTTTGTCTTTCAGTCTTATGGTTCTATGGACATTGACAAAACTACTACATTATGTTTTTAAATTTTTTATTTTACTGTGGTACTGTGAGTCTGGGGAAAGGAAATCCCAGGGCAAAATACCTCAAAAAACCGAAATCAGTCAAAGGGAGAAATAAAGTTTAAAATCCATTTATTGCTCACAAACTGCAGTCCCAGGCCATCTCTCTTTCCTGCTCCAGCAGATGCAAAAACCGGCCCTTCCCTCACCTCTCAGGTAGAGATAAGCCCTCTGTTGCCCAGGTAATAACCCACTGATATGGAGATGAACTTCTCTACACCCCTGAGGAATGATGTAAATGCACTAAAGCCATACTTCTCTCCAGCCCTGAGCGCCTGTTGATATGCAGATGTACTAAAGCCAGGTGAGATATTCTGGATAAATTACAATTTTACCCACAGGCCACCCCTCCAGAAATCTCACCTTACAATTTACTCCTTCCCCTTCTTTGACCAAACTAATGACATATAATAGCAACAGTAATAAAATCATGATAATCCTCAAGCCAGAGGATTCAGCCTATGCAGATTAAGTAAATGTACTTTACAGCACAATCTCTCACTAAGCACACAATATGTTTCTACATATTTGTTTACTCATTCCTAACAACCATGCTAGATTACTCACAAAGCTTTTACCAAACATGAGACAAAGTCAAGCCTCTCTTTAAGCATTTTTTTTCTTGACAACAGCAATACAATCATGGTAATTCTCAAGCCAGAGGATTCAGCTAGGTTCAAAGTCCCATGCAGATCAAGTCCAAAGCTCATCCATTTCAGCCATCACAAGGCATCTGCAGCCAGGGGGGTGCATCCAGGACACAAAGACCGTAGAAGCAAATAACTGTGATTTTGGGGGGCCACTTTGCTGTTATTCTAGGAATACACAGGAGGCCAGCTTTCAAGCCTTTTCCCCAAGGTGCCAGAAGAGCCAGTCATCACTGGTCTATGTGTTGAAATGTCCAAGGCCATGTCCATTTTATTCCTAATTGCTGCACCCATCCTTGCAATGCATGTCCAGTAAAGTGGGTGCCTTGATTGCTCTCAATCACTGGTGACTGGCTGCAAAGAGATGCTCTAGGCCCCTCTTGGTGGTTTGCTGATCTGCAAACAACGTGCAGGGCACTCCTTCTGGGATCAGGTGACTTCTTCAAAGGTCAGTGGCAAGCCCCACCAACAGGCTACAGCCCACATTGTCTTTTGCCCCACATGCATCAAATGCTGATGTATCCATTGGGCCACATCAGAGGCAGGCTGTCAGGCTGTCCTTCTAGCCAGCACACCTGGGCCAATGCGTCTGCTTCACCATTCCCTGGGAATGCTAAAGGCAAATGGCCAGTCACATGATGTACAGTAAGTGTCTGTGCCACACCACTCCATGGCCTTTGGGTCCAGTCTCTCACCCACCCCATGATGGGATAGGTAGTTATTACGTTGGTTGGAGCTTTTCCAGCGATGGGCTCCATAGCCAGCAAGGCGTGGTACACAGCAGCCAGTTGCTTCTCTATCAAGATGTACCAGACCTCTGCTCCTTTCCATAGTTGTGACCAGGCTCCAGCCGGGCAGCAGAAGGAACAGCAGTGGCAGAAGCAGTAGCCTTAGGCTCGGGCCATGGGCTGGGGTCAGCACAGTCAGCAGCAGTGGTGGTGCCTCCACGACCACAAGAGTATAGGAACATGTCCCTTGGTGCGAGTGCCACTTCTTCCCATCATTTCTAGGGGCAGCCCTCCCAAAGGTCGCACCCATTATGGCAGTTTTTCAGTTCAGAGGAATCCTGTCAACTACGCCAGATGTGAGTCCGAGGAAAGGAAATCCCGGGGCAAAATACTTCTAAAAACCGAAATCAGTCAAAGGGAGAAATAAAGTTTAAAATCCGTTTATTGCTCACAAACTGCAGTCCCAGGCCATCTCTCTTTCCTGCTCCAACAGAAGCAAAAACCAGCCCTCCCCTCACCTCTCAGGTAGAGATAAGCCCTCTGTTGCCCAGGTAATAACCCACTGATATGGAGATGAACTTCTCTCCACCCCTGAGGAATGATGCAAATGCACTAAAGCCATACTTCTCTCCAGCCTTGAGCACTGTTTGATATGCAGATGTACTAAAGCCAGGTGAGATATTCTGGATAAATTATAATTTTACCCACAGGTAAGAACACTTAAGATGAGATCTACCAACTAAACAGTTTGGAAGTGCCTCAAAAAATTAAAAATAAAAGTACTAAATGATCTAGCAATTCTACCACTAGGCATTTATCCAAAACATTGAAATCAGGATCTCAGAGAGATATTAGCATTTCCATGTTCATTGCAGCACTATTCTATATAGCCAAGGTGTGCAAGCAACCTGAATGTCCATCAACAGATGAATGGATAAAGGAAATGTGGTATCTACCTACAATGGAACATTATTCAGCCATGAAAAAGAAGGAAATTCTGCAATATGCAACAACATGGGTGAACCTCCAGGCTTTGGTGCTAAGTGAAATCAACCAGTCACAGAAAGACAAAAACTGCATGATTCTTTTTATGTATGACTAGCCAAATTCATAGAATTAATGAATGGAAGGGTGGTTGCCAGAGGCTGGGGAAGGAGGTAGCATAGCAGCATGACTAACCAATGGGCACAAAGTTTCAGTTAAGTAAGACGGATGAACTCCAGAGATCAGCTGTACAGCATTGCACCTGTCATCAGCAATAACAGATTGTCCACATAAACATCTGTGGGAATGGGCTGGCCTTTTCTTAATAGTGCCCCTTATATCCTGCTTTGTGACAGTGCTGCCAAAAACCTGGCATTTCTCTTTAATAGGAAATTAATGTCTAGATCTTTGGACCTAGAAGACTATCACTTAGTCTAAGCCTACTCCAACTAGGGTGTATACATATGTGTGTGTGTGTGTGTGTGTGTGTGCGTGTGTGTAATGATTGCAATGTCTTCTGTATGCATATGCATGGGATGCTTTCCTCTACATCTTCCATTCCATTCAAGGCCCCCAAAAGCCTACAATGTGTCGGTCTCAGAAGCAGAAGCAAAGAATTCATAAGAGCGCAAAAGCATAAGAATGCCTTTGCAAGAGAGAGAGAGAGGGAGAGATTTATTATAAACAGTTGGTTCACACAATATATTATAAAGAATTGGCTCATATGATTCTGGAAGTGACAGGTCCCAACCTCTACATCAGCAAACTAGAGACCCTGGGGAGCTCTTGGCACAGTTGGATCTGAAGACGCGTGGCTCAGTACTCAGGAAGAGCTGATGTTTCCGGTCAAGTCCAAAGGCCTGGTCCTTAAAGGAAGGAGGAAATAGGGAAGAAAAGAGACAATGAATGTCTGTCACAAGAGGAAGGCATCTGTGTAGGAAGCGGGTAATTCTCAAAAAAAGAGATCAGTAAAAAAAAAGGCAGGAAATCATTTGCCTGGCACAAAATTTTCTGAAGGATCTGTGCTTTATTTTAAGCCTCTTGAGTTCTAGTTATCTTAGTTTAGGATAAAAATAAAAATGATACGTTCTTGTTTTTTCTGGTTATATAACAATATTGCAAACAAAATGTGAACACGTGGCTTTCTGAATCAGGAGGTTGCCTGGGGCGTTCCTACCCATTTCCTGTTTCTTTCGGCTCACAGGGGACAGCTGCTCATTCAGGGCAGCTCTTGACTTGAGCTCTTAAGCTTTCAGATTACATTTTGCAGAAGAATATAAGCAATGAAATCTCTGTGTTATGCCTGGAATGCTTTCTCCTACTTTCTTTATTCAACACCCCCAAAAGCCTACAATGCGCCCACCCTGAAAGGAGAAACAAAGAATTCCAGAGAGCACATGGCGCCGGGAGACTGGAAACCTGGCCATTCCTCTTGTCCAACAGCCGGCAAGGTGGTAAGTCTGAGGGTGTGTGGGTGTGGGTGTATGTTGTATATGTGTATTTGTGTGTGTGTGTGTGTGTTGTGTGTTTGTACGTTTGCATGTGTTATGTTTGTGTGTATGTGACTACACGTGTGTATTGTTTGTATGTGTTGAATATGTGCATTTACATGTGTGTATGTATGTATTGTGCTTCTGAGTATATGTATGTGAGAGGAGGTGTATGTGTTGTTTGTGTGGAGGTTGTGTGTGAACGTGTCTGTATTTGTGAGTGTGCCTGTGAGTGTGCTACGTTTGTGCGATGTGTGTATCTCGTATATGTATGTGTATGCCTGTGTGTCTTTGAGTGTGTGTTGTGGGTATGTGCATTTGTGGTGTAACAGAGAGCTGGGGCGAAGGAGTCAGGGGAGCTTTGTACCTTTCTGCACTGCCTGGAACTTACTGCTCAGTGGTGGGTTAGACCCACCTGTGCGTTTCACTTCATGAGGAGCAGAGCCCGGGGCTGTGGCCGCTGCCTTCTGGGTTGGAAGCCCTCTCACAGGAAGGCTGTTCAGACAGGTTCCAAGGCAGCACGCAGGTGGCTGCAGGGTCCCTGAGTTTTGCTCCCCTCCGCCTCACTCCTGTCACCTTGGCTGGCCCTGTCACTGTCTTCATTAAGCCACCCCCTTCTCTCTAAAGGACAAGTGAGATGGCACTGGTGAATACTACCCTGGTGTCCACCGAGGATGTAAGGACGCCCAGACATAAGACCCCCCAGAGAGATTAGGGAGTCTACAGTTCCAGAGGTAGAATCACTAGCCTTCCTGCTCCAGAAGCCCCTTTACTAGGTAAAATACTGTGTCCTTTCTGGATGTTGCTGACCAGGTCTGGATGAAATTGTTCACCTGACCTGGTCACTCTCTCCTCCAGGACGGTCACCAAACCTTACCGGACCATATGCATTCTCAGCCTAGCATTTTAGAGCTGATAGAGGGGATAAAGCCAGTGATCACACAACACAGCCACGCTGGACCCCTCTGGCCACCTCCCTGGGTTTGGGGGGATGGCAGGAGTTTGCTAGGTTAAAGTATGACAACCTTCCAAGGATGAGGTGCCATGGGGAGTCTGTGTGTTGGGGCCCTCCACCCCATGGCCAGGCTTCCCCCACCCTGGAGCCTTCATACGGAGACACCCAGCTGACTGTGAGTATCTCCGGGTGTCCTCCACGTAAAACAGTCCTGGGCCTGCCATGTGCTTCCCAGTCCCACAGAGGATATCAAGCAGATGTAACAGGACAGGGAACTATGTTAGTCTGCAAAGCAGTACAGACCAAAGCAGAGATGCATTATTCTCTCATCAGAAGGCCGATGGTAGTTCCTGGCTGGGGTGACAAGGCCTTACTTTGCAAAGAGGATGAGGAGGAGCTGCTCTAGAAAATGTCATAAGATGTTGGGTACTTATAGGGGAAGTTCTCAGGAATATCTAGTTCAGGCCCAGTATTGACACTTATGGGGACACTGAGGCCCAAGCAGTGTGGCCGTCCTAACTGTGGCCATGAGATGAGCACTAAGGACCCTGGCTCGCAGCGGGATGCTGCCCCTTATGGTGAAGGGTCCTGGGTGGAGGGTGTTGTGCACCCCAGCACCCTGGCACCCTCCGCAATCCCCACTGCTGAGCCCTCCCCAGAGGTCAGGCCTGGACCCCCACCTCCAAGCCAGGCCCTCTCCGCAGCTTCCATTCTTATCCCCCAGGCACATGCTGGTCACAGTATCAGACCTGCTCTGCTCTCTGCGACTTTCTGCCCTCACAGAACAGCTCCGGGACCCTTTGACCACCCAAAGGCCACCCATTCCACAGGCGGCAAGCCAGTCGTACCTTTCTCCATGAAATCTCTTAAACTGAAAATAAGACCACAGTGCAGAGAAGGAGGGAGAGAGTACAAATAGGGTCTCTAAAGGAGGTGGGGTGTCTAAGGCCCTGCCTCCCCACTTTGATTAATCTGCTTCCCTCCTAATAGATGCAAAAAATGCACAAGTCAGGTGTCTCTTCACAAAATCTCAATTAGAATATAAATTAGGGGGATGAAAGTACAGCATAGAGAATATAGTTAATTATACTGTGACATCTTTCTATGTTGGCAGTAATGATACTAATTGGGGTGAGCATTTAATAATGTAGATAACTGTGGAATCACTATGTTGTATACTTGAGACCACTACAATATTGTATATCAACCAGCCTTCAATAAAAAGTTAAATGCCTCTTAAAACTTGGTTGAACCACCAGTAAGACATATTATTTTCTCTAGATGAAGGAAGAAGAAAATAAACAAATTATCCAGGAGAATCCCCCAGAAGCGCCTCGTCGGGATCCTAAACAAGATGTGCTGGGAGGTAAAACTACTTTCTAGCAGAGGGAGCTTGGGAGGGTGCGGACGGGACGCCTGACGGGCGGGGCACGCGCTGTGAGAGGCTCTGCCGCATCGGGGCCTCGCTGCCCAGGCTGCCACCCGAGGGCTCTCAGGCTGGGGCCTTTCTTTACGCCAGCCAAAAAAGAGGGAAAAGGCCCCCGAAAGGCATGCCGGGCGAAAGGAGGCACGAGAGAGCACCAGTGGGCGCCCCCCTACTGAGGGTCTGTCCCGGGCCCAAGTGGAGGGGCCTTGCTCATTCTCCGTTTCCTGGGGAAGAATGTGCTCATGGTGGGTGTGGCAAAATGACTCACTTTAGCCTGCGGCTTGGGAGCCCACAGACCCTGTGTGGCCCCGTGGGGAGTTCAGATGTGAGAGTTCCCGGGTCCCGGGGCTGAGCAAGCAGGCTGGGCTGGGCCACTTCTTCGCAACTGGGCTCAGCCTTCTCAAGCAGTTCTTTTCCATCAGAAGCCCCTGCATCAGGCTCAGGTGCTTAACATTCACAGGCTCAACTCTGTCATCTAACCTGGGGACAATATTTAGGAACACTGGAAATCCATCCATGTTCCTGGCCAGAAGAAATGATGTGTGATGCATTCTGTCTTTTAACAGAATGCTTTTCTCTGTGAACTTCAGTGGCCTGGGCCCATGGGAGAAAGGATGTGGGCCAGAGACAGTGTCGGGGGGCAGTGCTGGTGCAGGTGCTGGGCTTCCCCCCCACCCCAACCAGGCCCTGAGGTCAAGGAGCACCCCCAGGGTGGCCTCTGGTGAGGCTGAAAGCAGTGCATGGCCGCAACCCCAACTCCCTCTGCTTTCTCCCAATGCTTCCAGGCCTGAGAGAACTGACCCCAAAGAGACTGAGGCTCCTCCTGGTGGGGAAAACCGGAAGTGGGAAAAGTGCGACAGGGAACAGCATCCTCGGCAGGCGCGAGTTCGAGTCCAGACTCAGCGCCAGACCAGTGACCAGGGCCCTGCAGAGAGGAAGGCGAGGTTGGGCTGGGAAGGAACTCGAGGTGATCGACACCCCCGATATTTTGTCCCCCCATGTCCCGCTGGAAGTGGCAGCTGGCGGCATCAGTGAGGCCATCGCCTTCTCCTCCCCGGGGCCCCACGCAGTGCTCCTGGTGACGCAGCTGGGCCGCTTCACAGCAGAGGACCAGGCGGTGGTCTGGCGCCTGCAGGAGGCCTTCGGGGTGGGCATCCTGGCCTACACCGTCCTGGTGTTTACCCGGAAGGAAGACCTGGGTGGGGGCTCCCTGGACCAGTACTTGCGGGAGACGGACAACCGGGAGCTGGCCTGGCTGGACGTGCTCTGCGCACGGCGCCACTGCGGGTTCGACAACAGGGCGCAGGGCGTGCGGCAGGAGGCCCAGCTCCAGGAGCTCATGGAGAAAATTGAGGGGGTCCTGTGGGAGAACGAGGGCCAGTGTTACAGCAACAGGGCTTACCTGTACTGCCAGCGAATCGCGCAGCCCAAAGGCCCGCAGGCACGGCCCGCGGCCGAGGGGCCAGGCTGGGAGGAAGCGCTCAGTGAGCAGTCCTGGCGGGAGGGCCTGCGCCAGGTCCAGAAGGAGTCCCAGGAAACGCACCGACGGCTCCTGGGGAGGGCGCTCGTCTGAGCATCTGCTGCACTTCAGGAGGCTAGCTGTCCCTGCGAGCCTCCCTCAGGCCCTGTGTCCAGCTTCCAGCTGCTCACTTGCTCTCTCCTCCCCACGGGGTGCAGACCATCCCGCCTCCGGCCAGTGTCCATGCGGCCAGAGGAGTGCGGGTGCCAGAGTTCCCAGCTCCATCCGGGCCCTTCCTCACACCTTCCAGAACAGGCAGGTGCTCCCCATGCTTGTCTCCTGTGGAATCTCATTTCTCAGTTGGCATTTCATCTCTTGAGGGCCTTATCCCAACTCTGACAGAACCAGAGCTTTCTGAGGGCAGGCCTGTGCCTCATCCTTCCACAGGAAGCCCACAGTGTTCTGGTCGCTGGACTCACCCATTAGACGCTGGTGCAGCGAAACAGAGTGGGACATTGATCAGGCAACATCCCACCTCTCGGGCCAGAGCCTGGCCTGGAAGGGGCAAGGCCTAAAGGCCTTGACGGTGTGAGCTGGGTGCAGTGGGCCAGCACAGAGCAAATGATCTGCGGTCTGAGGAAGGCACAGAGATGCTGGGCTGCGGAGGAGGAACCAAGGAGCAATGCAGGAGCAGCCTTTTTATTCAATCTTGGAAGAGGTCGTTGAATCCCCCTGGGAACTTCCTGGTGGGATGGATGAGCAAAGAGAGGCACAGGTACCCCCAGAAGCCAGGCCTGGTCAAGAGGGTGGGGAGGGTGGGCCCCAGACCAGCTCCAGGACGTGGAGGCCCCAGAGGTGCCAAGTGGACTTGGACCAAAGAGGAGCACCTCCCTCCGGCCCTGAGATGAGGGGGACTATACACCTGCCCTCCCCCTCCCACTATGATGCCTTCCAGTGTTCGAAATGCCTCAGCCTTACCTGCCACCCTTTCCCTTCCTGCTTGGTAGTGAGAAGCTGGTGTGGGGGGTGGGGGCGAGTGTCTGAAGGTGTGAATGGTTCTCCAGAAAGGTATTTGGGGTACAGAATGGAGGGAGGCAGAGAAGAAAGGGAACCCTCAAAGGAAGCAGTTGAATGACAAACACCACAGGGGTCAGCCTGCCTGGGCGTGGGGAGAACTCGGCAGCACAAGGGCATCTTTCTGAAGGGCTGCTCATGCACGCAAGGATCAGAAGTGAGCAGGATGCCCCTCAGATGCCCCTCAGCTTCTATGGGGTTCTGGATGCTCCCAGGGGTCCTCCCAGTGCTGGAAACAGGGCGGTTCTTTCCCTTCTGCCTGTCCACTCCTATGTGAATAAAACATTTATTTGATCATTGGTTTTGATTATAATTTCCTTTGTTATTCTTAGGCATTTGTTCTCCTATGTTACTTGTTTAATTCTCAGAAGAACCTTATTGGCGTTCACTTTGGAAATGTCTCACATTTATGTATTCAGTTTGGGAGAAGTGGTAACTCAAGGATAAGTGACTCAAGGCCATCTCATTTCTAAGGGAACAGACTTGCAACTTCAGAGCTATTGAGTAAAAGCTAAAATCATTTGCCTGTGCATTAGGCTAAGAAAGTAAATTTCTTTAATTTAGGTGTTGTTGTGTTAACCCTATTAGCTTAATTAATATCAAAATAGAAAATACAAGCATTTGACCAAATGACACCCACCCATTCAATGACTATAAATGGGAAGTCACTCAAAATATGTCATTCATTTAAAATTCTAAAGTACTAAAAATTCTCAAATATATTCTTCCAATTATATCACATATGGTGTTTTCTCTCTCTTACTGCTAAACATCAGGGAAGACGCCTCCCACATTTCAGGAGGATCGATGCGGCCCCACTGCCGACACCCCCTCAGCCTCAGGGAGGGGGAAGGCAGGTCAGGCGTGTTCTGGAAACTCCACGGTCTGCCTACCAGGAAGAAAGAAGTGGTGTGGGTGAGGAGGGGAGAGGTGGCCTTGGCTAAGGCCGTGAAAGTACCCAACTTCAGAATTTGCTATTTTTGAAAACTATCTCTACACTGGAGCAAAGCATGAAAATACGAGGGCGATTTAAAAAGCCCAGTAAGTACTAAGTTCTCTTTGGTAGGTTTAAGCAGCTGTTACAAGTTTTAGGGAAGGTTTCCAGCTCCCAGTCTTCCTGTAATAACACCGATAAACTCTGTAGAAAGTGCAAAATAATAATTTTTAAATAATTGCTTTAAGGCACCAGCGAGAGACCAAATATGGGCAGGCACCACAGAGAACTCTAATTTCCACTGCGCGGGTGGGGACATCTTCCTCAAAGGGTGAAAGAACTGGTCAGAGATGTCAGCAGTTGCCCACAACAGCAAAAACTGATAAAATGTTTCCTCTCAACAACCAAAAACAGAATTGATAAAACTAGTAACAGGAGTCAGAATTAAATGTCCCTGTGGGTAAAATTGTCATATTTCCATAATATCTCACCTGGCTTTGGTATATTTGCATATCCTCAGGGGTGGAGAGAAGTTCATCTCCATGTCAATGGGTAATTACCTGGGCAACCGAGGGCCTGCCTGAACCTGAGAGGTTAAGGGGAGGGGCTCGCTTGACTGCTGCTTCCGGAGCAGGGGGGAGAGACATCGCTGGGCTGCACTTGATAAGCAATAAACAGGTTTTAAACTTTATTTTCCTCTTTGACTGATTTCGGTTTTTAGAGGTATTTTGCCCCGGGATTTCCTGTCCCTGGACTTACAGTCCCCCCCCCCCCCCCACATAAAATAATTCTAAGCCACTTTTAACAGGATCTGAGCTTTTAACTTGGGTCAGCTATAAAACAGCTTGGATTATTGCATAAAAATGAAAAATACTCTTCATTGGAGAGATGGAAGGAAATCATGACTTTGTTATGGAAAATTTTGTTGGAAAATTTTCAGAAAACACTAAAAATTCTTAAGTGCACAAAACATGGGAGACCTCCCAGTAAGCCACCAAACAGTGGCCCATAGAAAACAAGACCTTTTTAATAAAATCAAAGATGAATGGATTTAAAAGTTGAAAAACTGCAAATATTCTCCTTTACACCTATATGGAAGTGTGATATAAGACACTTCCCAGAAAATACTTTGAGTATGTCTTAAAATATTCCCAAATCTATGAAGAGATGTTAAGTCAGGGCAGAAAAATCAAAGCGGTGGCCGAGGTTTTTTTAAATCTTTTAAACCTGTCAGATGAGAATTTTAATAGATATTTGGCACAAAACCCCGGTGATGGAAGCACCTGCACGATGTTCCGGTCTGCCTCCCATACGCTATGTTCCAGAATTACTGGACCAGCTCTTTCCAACTTCGTTTTTTGCTTTGATTGCTTCCAGAAACATTTCATTTCCCTCCACTTGTACTAAGTATTTGTTAGGAAAACTGAAGCCAACCTATGCATTAAAAGTAGGATATACTTTCAATCTAAGGATTGAGAGGCCTGCCCGAACCTGGGAGGTCTGGGAACGCGGGGGTCTGGGAAGCTCAGTAGGTGCTGAACTGGGTGGTTTTCAGTGGCCCCCGTCGGCATGAAACGCACGGGCCTGTTAGCAGGAGCGTCCAGGCAGCGGTAGGCCTGGTCCACTTTCCAAGTCTCGCGAGAGCGCCTCCCACTGGTAGAGTCCCACCTGGCCCTGCTGGAAAGGGATGCCAAGAGTGTCAGTCCACGCTCCTTCCCTGGGAGGCAGGGAACAAACCCAGAGGGAGAATCAGCGGTGCCAAGTTCACAACAGAGGATTCACCACCGCTGAGTAATTCTTAGGTAAGGCTTCACCTTATACATGACCTTCTCCTGGAAGTTTCCTCTCTCACGAAATAGGAGTTCACACCTAGTGGATGCTAAGTGTGGCCAAGACAAGATACTAATTTTATTACCTTGTATTTTAATTATTTGTTGTCTCACTATACGTTATACACTGTGTATATGCATGCACCGTATACATAGGACACAGGAGCAGGGGGCAGGGAACTCTTACCGTTCACCGTTTGTACCAAGTTCCTGGCATACAGGAGGCACCCACCAAATATTTTTACCCCACCCCTCGGAGATTTAGTGAGACTTGGCTCCTGCTACATTTCCACAGCACGGAGAGTCCCAAATCCCCCTGGCTCGTTTGGGGAATTTTCTGAGCTCACTTCCTCAGGTTCCCGGTCCTGTATCAGTCATACGCCACTGTCCTGTTTTACCCCATTTCATGTAGACTTGAAATTCAGTTGCCTCACTGGTTTCCACAATAGCACATACAGCAAGCATTTGGGAGGGTTTAGCATCTCTCCAGAGGATTTTCAAAGCCTCACGGGCAGCACCAGCATTCCTGCACCCAGCTCACTATCTTCCCTCTGGCATGTAAAGGGGGGGGATCATTCCTCCGCTGCCTGGCAGGGAGGAGTCTGGAGCACACACTTCATAAATAACCTGCTTCTTGCGAAAGGCAGAGGGACTGACCTGTCTCAGGGTGTGAGAATGTCAGCACATCCTGGCATACCGGATGTCACCAAGTCCAAGCTCATGCCAGATTCTGCAGGACGTGCCAGTAAGTCGAGAAGCAAGGAAATCAACTTTACTCGAAAGGCCAATGGACCGAGAAGGTGGCAAACTCAGGTTCTAAAGCCCCATCTTAGCTCAGGGTTGATTGCAAGTTGCTTTTATGCTGGGGAAGGGGAGCAGGCCAGGGAGTGACTGACGTCTGTAGACATGTGGGCGCCAGAGAGGGTCCAAGGAGAGCGGAGAAACTCTGTGTCTTTAGTTAACTGACTCTCGCAGACCTAAGTTTGGTCACAATGTCCCTATAAATCCGTGACAGGACTATTATTATTTCCATATATTTTTCCCTGTCTCCCCAGGGGAGGCAAGCTTCGGGTAAGGAGCAGTTTGCAGAAAGCCCAACCTGTGAGCAAAATCCCTTTTGATGATTAGCAAGGCTCTGTGCAGGGCTGTGGGCTAAGCAGAGCTCTTTTCCGTCTTTTTCCTTTTGGCCCAAAGGTTAAAGTGCAAAGGAGACAAATCCCGTGTGGAGGCAGAGATGCCAAGCTTTTTCTATCTGTTCAAATTAGACCACTTCCTACTATTATTCTTACTTTTTAAAAAAATCATTGTTGACAGACAATCTTATGTTGGTTTCAAATATACAAGACAGAGGTTCCACAGTTACCCATATTATTAAATCCTCACCCCCTCTAGTGTGGTTACTATCTATCAAAGTAGTAAGGGGTTACAGAATCACTATGTTCTCCGTGCTGTACTACTGTCCCTGTGACCAACTTATATTGTGATCACAATCCCTTTATCCCCTTCTCTGTCTCCCTAACCTGCCTCAAACCTTCCCCCTTGGTAACTGCTAGTCCCTTTTCATGTCTGAGTCTACTGCTATTTTGTTCCTTCTGTTCTGCTTTGTTATTATACTCTACAAATAAGTGAAATCATATGGTATTTGTCTTTCTGCACCTGGCTTATTTCATTGAGTATAATACCCTCTAAATCCATCCATGTTGTTACAAATGAGAGTATTTCTTTTCTTTTTATGGCTGAATAATATTGCATTGTGTATATGTACCACATCTTCTTTATCCATTCATCTGCTGATAGATACTTAGGTTGCTTCCATATCTTGGCTATTGTAAATAGTGCAGTGATAAAAGGGGTGCATATGTCTTTTCAAATTTGGGATTTTGTTTTCTTCAGGTAAATTCCTAGGAGTAGAATTACTGGGTCAAATGGAATTTCTTTTTAGTTTTTTGAGGAACCTCCATATTACCTTCCACAATGGTTGAACTAGTTTACATTCCCACCAACAGTGTAGGAGGCTTCCCATTTCTCCACATCCTCACTGGCATTTGTTATTTCTTGTCTTTTGGATGGTGGCCATCCTAACTGGTGTGAGGTGATATCTCATTGTGGTTTTAATATTCATCTCCCTTATGATTAGCCATGTGGAGCATCTTTTCATGTGCTTGTTGGCCATTTGTATTTCTTCTTTGGAGAAGTATCTGTACAGTCCTCAACCCATTTTTTAATCAGGCAATTTGCTTTTTGGATGTTGAGGCATATGAGTTCTTTATATATTTTGGTTGTTAACCCTTTATCAGAGGAGTTGTTTACAAATATATTCGCCCACACTGTGATGGTGGTAATGAGTTTGGAAGTATTCCCTCCTCTTCTACTTTTTGGAATACTTTAAGAAAGATGGGGGTTAGCTCTCCTTTAAATGTTTGGTAGAATTCAACTGTGTATTCTTACTTTTTAAAAACAGGAAACTGGCCCTTCGATCTGTCCTGACCAGGCGGGAACACTTTCGGTTCCGTGTTTCGCTGCACAGGGGGTCCAGC